CATCCGTATGATGCCAAAAATCTGCAGTAACCCATTCAACATATTAAAGCCACGATAGGATTTAGCTTCCTTATATCCTGCAGTGGTACGCAGTCCTTGATCTTCTTGTTTTCTTCCCAATTTCTATCTAATTCTGCAGTGCCGAGGATCCATCCACCCCCCACCCCAAAACCATATATTCAAGCTTTCTTGTGCTATTTTCTTGTTTTCATTTAATTGCTCTAGATTAGCTTATAGCAACGCTTGCGATAGCTCTGCTATCATCTTCCTGCTGTGCTCTAGTGCAAGTCAATTCCAGGCCTGTCATCCAGAACTGAGCGTGTTGGCTCTCTCCCTGAACTGTAGCTGAACCTGGCAGCGTTTCTCTTTCGGCTGCAGGTAAATAGAGTCAGACGACAGGAACGGCTAGCCTATCCACATCACTCCTGGGAGTCAGGCTGCAATGGAAATGCTCTTGTCGCTCTAGATTTATTTAGCTGTTGGGACAAAGTTACGACTTTTAAGATCATGCGCGCCCATATGCATTTGATGAAATGCATGCATTTATGGTGAATGCAGCCAAATGGGATTATGCCAATAGATGATAATTAATTGAGTTTGGTGTTATGGTCGAGAAAAACAAAACAATATGAGGGTCATGTTATAAATTGAAATAGATTTTTTTATATATATACAGTATATATATATATAAATAAATAAGCCTTTATATCGTCAAGAATCTGGAGTGTAGAACTTTGGCAATTGTACACAATTTTGCCCCTTCTTATCTTTCTAGTATGCTGACATTTTATAATCCATCTAGATCTTTGGGATCCGAAAATCAAAATCTTCTCTGTGTTGTCAGAACAAAGTACAAACATAAGGGCGACAGGGCGTTTTCCCGTGTCGGACCCAAAACTTTGGAATGATCTCCCTCTTTCTATAAGGTTAGTAAAGTCACTACCAAAATTTTAAGGCCATGTTAAAAGCAAATTTTTTAAAGACTTCCTGGGCATCTTCATGATTGGTATTTGATCATTACCTTGTCTATGTTGTGTGCATTTTATTTCTTTTTTTCTCTGTACTTCTCTTATTTTTATATTTCTTTTAGTGATTGTGAAGGAGTTTGGGCAACAGCTTGCATTAAATGTGCTATATAAATAAAAATTAAATCCTTTATTTTAAATTTTTTTATTCTTTTAGTTGTCTTGAATAATAATTAAAGTGGGATGACATTATTTAAATGGGAAAACATATTTTTACTAAATTATATTGATCAGCTGATGCATTAAACCCTTGATTAGATACATTGAATAAAGTTCATTACATAATTTAATTTAAGTTTAAATTAAGTTTAAATTGTTCTATTGTAATACAGTTTATTTATTTTTATTTTTGATAAAGTTACCCACAACATGATAGCAAGATACAATTTGTGTATGAGTTTGATCTGATTTGACCTAAAAAGAAAGAAATGTGCACAGAAATGCTTTTAAATGTATCTAGAAATCTTTTTTATTTAACAATTTTAGAACAAAAGCTGCTTTTCCACCGTTGGGCCAAACGGTTTCTAACAACCGTAAGGAACGGTTCCAGTTATGTTTCCACTTGAACCTGGTTTTGGCACGGCACGTTTACAAACCATCCTCGGCCCAGAATGTGTGTAGTGACGTCACAACTGTCACTTGTCTGTTGCCTGGTTACCAGTTTCTCTGTAGTTGTGAGCTCTGTAATCGAATGCTTATCAGCATATTAGATCTGTGCTTTTGTGTTTTAAAGTGACAACAGCCTAATAAACCTGCTGCTGTCATAACATTTAATGTTAATCAAACAACAAAAGAAAAAGAGAGAATCATTTACTGCTCTTCACTGAATAACTTTAGTAACTTTAATAAGAATCAATGTAATATGTAATTTATTTAATTCATACGGTGAAGACTATACACAGTTTTATTTTAATTCAATATCTGTATTGGCTATAGGCAAAAAATATATATTTTCTATTTTATTTTTATATTCTATTTTTATTTTATTTTTTCTATTGTATTTGTCCCATTGTTTGTCGTTTTATGGTATTACTGACTGTTTCAACTCACTATTGGTTGACAATGAAACTGCTCTGAAAGAACATATTAAGGGGTACGGGGTCATTTTAGGGTTTTTATGAATGCATTGACAGGAGCCCCCTTACAAAGTTTTGCTTAGAGCCCCCAGAAATGTAGGACCAGTGCTGGGCCCGACGGTAGAAAGGCGGCTAAAGAAACGATCATAATCTTTTTCTTCTCTTTCTCTCTCTCTAAAGCAGAGAGAGAACTTTAATGTAGTGAGCATCACTCTAACTTATTTGTGATTAAAGTGCCCAAACGTCAACCATATACAGTATTGTGCATCGCAAGGTTCTTCATTGATTCACAGATCTGAGTACTGTCTTCTCGTATGCACTGCATTCACCTACAGAATGAGTAAATCTAACCTTGTTAGTGAAGTTGTGTGGTCATATACTGTATTTTCGCTATCATGACTGTGCATGCTTTCAGCACTGTGGTTTGGGCTTAAATTAGAACAAATGAGCAGTAGTAATATATCTATAGCTGTAGCTTTGGGGAAGAGACCTCTGGTCCCCATCCTAATGAGTGTACACCTTACCTCTTTGTCCTGGCCTAGTTTCCACATTTGTCTGCTTCGTGTGCTATATTCCAAGCTGTGCTTGTTCCACATGACTAATACAACCTTGCTGAAGCAGGAACTGTGAATAGATACAAAGTCGGCTCTCACTCAAAAAGTGATTCTGCATTTCAGTAGAGTGCTGAAAGGTTTGTTTTTTGTTTTTTTACTCAAAAGGCAGCATCTCCTCAAGGTTCAGCGTGTATCAATAAGACTCACCCTTGTCCATATCTTGATCTGAATTGAGAATAACCCCTGATAATCCTTCCATCAAGGGCAAAACCTTTACAAAAATAAAGCCAGGTATATAAGGTTTGCACGTAAACCCTTCGCAGTGATGCAAGCGACAGGGTTGTTTCACTATGTATTGCTTAATGCTATTTATTTAATGATATTCCATAAGAAGCATATAACATTGCAGCACTATGAAGGCAAAGGGTACTTGCAATCAAACATCTCCATTTTGCATTCAGTTTATTTACAATATCTAAGAAATGGCATTAATTGTGGTCCAGAGAAACAACTTTATGGTCATAGCAGCAGTGTTTGTTACTGGTATCCGTGTCTTATCAACATAAATATTCCCAGTAGATAATCTATTGAAACATCTCACGATGCAGAAAAACAAATCAAACCCTTTTTCTCATATCAAATTAACCTTTATAGGTTCTCCATGCACATACCGTGGCAATTGTACATTTCACCATGTGACTTGGCATTGATGGAGATTGTTTTTGTTATAATGTGAAGGGTTTTCTGTTTGGTCTCCTGGGTCCCGCTGTGGACCGGTGTCCATTATCCATTAGATTCGCCTCCCAGAGTAAATCCTCATCCAAACAGATTCTAAATGATATCTATGCCTGCTCCGTTCCCAGCGCCCGCACTCAAGGCTTTTATTCGTGAATCTGAGGGGCCTCTGGGGCAGGACGCTTTTATTTAAGTAGCCTGTGTCACTCAGAAATATAATGAAGATTTCCATTATGATTACACTAGAGGAAGCACTGCCCATAATTGAGTGTCTCAACTGCAGTTGTACACGTTTAGTTCGTCTACTCAAGTGAAGCCAGTCCAAATGTTCTAGAAAGACCCCTCCTCATTCAGATCTGCTGCAGTCCCTTGACTATCCTACATGCAGGGTCCACTAGTACAGTTGAAGATGAAGTATAATTGGTTATGTGCTTTTCTAAAGAAATGTAGAAAAGAGACACACAAGGTTGAGAGACATTTGAATACGCTTTTCTTTCATTGCGATGTTTAAATTCACATAATTTAGGTTAATCCTTTGGAGATATTTTCTTTGGCTTTGGCAAAGGCAAGATGCTTATCTCTAAGTATAGTGTATATTACGTGGGAGATTGTTAAGCTGAGGATGCAGACAGACAGATTTATTCAAGTGTTAAAATGCAGAGACTGGCCATAATCCATTGAATCTACTAAAATGAGAATATACTGGATTATCCTAGGGCTGTTGTTTTGCTTCCTGTTGCTGCATCTCTAATGTTTTAAACATAACCCCAGACATGCATATCTATCTATCTATCTATCTATCTATCTATCTATCTATCTATCTATCCGTCTGTCTGTATATTTTAATTCTTAACTGTATTTACAGCAAACCATATATTTCACATATATTGAACCATATAATTTAAACGGATATAAAAAAGAATAGCAAATTTAATATTATTACTATAGAATATTATCAGATGTGAAGCACAAATTATGTGATGTGTCACACACATATACATGTCACACACACAAACACACACACACACACACACACACACACACACACACATATATATATATATATATATATATATATATTTACAATAATTTACTTATATATATTTTAAATGTAAATTATTCCAAAACTTTAAACATTGTATTGTAAGATTACATGTTTTATCATGTTAAATCGAATATATTCACTGTAATTGTAAGGTAACTTAAGTCAAGATTTTGCTGTAGCATTTTTACATTATTATTTTTTCCTGTAAAAATGTATAGCATTTTTTACTGCATCTCTATTTCTGGTTAAAAAGAGTTTGTATTACAATGCTCATGTTACAATATAAATACATAGGTCTACTTAATTCGTATTTTTTACATTTACTATATAGCTTGTATGAAAGGTAACTGTAAATGTTAGAAAAATTCATTAAAATAATGTAGTAGGCTACAGCACATAAGTCCATTAGAGAATGACAAATACTTCACTTCGCCTGATTATGATGATATTCCGGGCCCGTTCCCGTACAGGACAGGGCGATTGGGGCGGAGACCTGTTTGTACTGCTTTTGTGAGCCACCGGTCCGCCTCATCGCTTTCCCGATACCCATCAGGAGGCAGTATATCCTCCAGTGCAGTGTGTATGTGTGTGTGTATGTGTGTGTGTGTGGCGTACTGGAGCTGCGCTTCCCATCCGCTACCTTTGTCTCTCTCACAGAGCTTCACTTTAGCAGGGCGCGGGGTTTAAGTTGCTGAGACGGAGGGGAACCGCTTTGAAGAAGTGGATCTGGACGGGTTTAATACACCCTCCCTCTCTAGAACTACTACAAAGGGAGTGAACGGAGAGAGTTGCGCTGCGTAAACCGACACCGACCATCGCGCCGCTCGCTCGCTCCCCTAGACGTCAAGAAAGCAAGCATGCGGGAAAACACAAGGAGCTGAGTCTTTCTTTGGGAAATGTGGATTTTGTTGGGCTCGTTTTGAAATGCTGGTTCTCTGAGACCAAGCGCTGGGTGCGTTTTCGTGCGTTTTTGGACGCGCTGACAGTCCGTGAGCGTTACGCACTGACTCGCCAGAGGTAAGTTTGACGCCTCCAATACAAATACAACTGGATTATTGCAGCGTTCTATTATTACAGCGTTCCGTTCTGTTATAAATTGACGTCACAACGTCGCGTAATTAGTGCTTTTTGTAAATGTCGTTTATTGTTAAAAGGGATGGGGGTGGAAAGGATATTTGATACCGTCATTAAGTCAGCCAGTCGTTCAGTCGGCGGAGCTCCAACTGTTGCCATATTGTTTTGATAAGTTTTAAACCCCAACTAAAGATGATTGTATTAAATTTAGATGTCAGTTTGTGTCACTTTGGCGAAAACGCAGTGCGGTCTTGTTTGGACACGCATTTCAACGTAAAAACAAATAAGATACTAACATCTTTATGTGCCAGATTTAAGTGAGTGAACAAACGCTGATTGTTTGTTGCATATGCGATGGGATTGTATAGCCTACTATATTTAAAGCCCAACATCAGCACTTTTTTCTTAATGCAATTACAACGTCCCTGCCACGTTCACAGCGCAATAAAACGCTTCTTTCAAAACGCTTGATCATTATTTAGTGACAGGTTTAAGCGATGATGGTATTTTCTGGAAATTATATATAGCCTAGAAGTGATGTCGGATATTGACCACCACCAGCTGTGACACATCTTACAGAGTGCGTATTCCTTCGTTTCATATAGACTGGTCGTCTGTAATGAAATAAGTGCGCACTGCATACTGGATATTACAGTAATTACAGCATGAAGTGGACACTGGTGTTTTCATATGGCTGGGTGCTCATTCATGCAAGAAATGGTCAAAGAGACAGTTAAACTAAAAATAAGATATACTGTCATTATTTACTCACCTTTATGTAGCTCCAAGAACTTATGACTTTCTTTCCACTGTGGAACACAAAAAGAGACATTTTGGAGAAACACTGTTTTTCCATGCATTGACAATAAAACGTGACTGAAGATCTAAAATAAGATGTAAATCGCCATAAAAGTTGTACACATCCCAAGTCTTCCGAAGATTTACAGTAGCAGTCGTGAAATTTAAGTCATTATTCAGTGATCTTCCCCTCTATTGAGCTGTTAACAGCAAGTTGATCAATTGAACTCCAGAATCAGATCAGTCTGATTTGTAAACAAATCATTTAGATCAACTTTGTGAATGGAATTAAACATTTTTTGACTGCGATCAATTATTTATTCATGAATCGGACATAGGTAGTTCCCTAATGAATTCATCAATAAGCGTGAGGATGAATGTGAGGACTTAATTTTTTTCACACAAAAAAAATGCCTGTTTGTCACACAAACCTATTGGGTTTTTTTCCGGAGTCTTTGAAGTGACGACTTTTATTATACTCTTGTTGTGACCCTTATTTATCATATATTTCTACTGCATGGAAAATATCAATCAGTCATGGGGTTTGGATTGATGGTGAGTTAATGATTACAGAATGTTCTTTTTGTTTTTGGGTGAACAATACCTTTTCATTTATTTTTCAGGGAGAAGTGTGTGTTTGTGTGTGTGCGCATTTTGTGAGGGGTCCTCTTATGAGGTTCAAATAATGTCTTAAAGGGATAGTTCACCCCAAAATGTACTCACCCTCATGTTGTTCCAAACCAAACCTGTATGACATTTTTACCTGCAAAACACAAACAAAGATATTTTGAAGAATGTTGGTAACCAAACAGTTTTGACCAAAACGTCATACAGGTTTGTAATGACATGAGGGTGAGTAAATGATAGAATTTTCATTTTTTTTGGGTGGACCCCCCCCCCCCCCCCCCCCCCCCCCCCCAAATTTAAATGACAAAAGGTTTATACAGGTTGAGAGCAATGGATGTCAGTGGGGTTTTATAGATTGTGGTTGTGTATATGTGAAATAATGAGGTCAGTGTGTATCATCACATCCAAGAACAATTGATTGTTTATTATAATGGTTCATACAGTGTAAGCATAGAGGATACTGGAAGCCTCGAACAAAGCTCTTTATTATTGTGACGTAGGGCTGTCATACGCTCTCGTCATTGTCTGTTAATGAACAGTGGAAGGAGAGGAGAGCAGTAACTGTATAAATGTGCTCCATTCATGTTTGTTCCCAGCCTGTCCTGGACAGTGTTCCCGCATTAAATGCAACTGGCAGGGAATAGCTTGCTGGGGGACCATACACTGTCACCCCTTCAGCCCAGATGTTCCTCAAATCCATTGAGAGTCAAATTGGGCTCCTGGAGGGAAGATCTTCTCATTGTTGTGCCACAATAGACTCGCATCCTTCCTTAGTCAATAGTACCTAAAACTGAATCACACAGACACACACACATTGACATGAGGGATTCACAAGGACAGGAAAAGCTATTAGTATTCTGATCATCCAGTCTAGAATCTGGAATGTTGAATTCCAACTCCTAAAATTCAGACTTTGATCTCCGACTATTTAAAGAGAGGTCAGTTCATGTGAAAATGTTCTTCATGGAGTAACATCTAAATTAACCGGTTTGATCCAGTTCAAAGAAACTATTTCTAATGACTGAATAATAGCGGTTTCTCCAATGTAAGAATTTTAAAGGCTCAGATCAGGTAGAAATATCTACTAGTCTTTTTTTTTTAGCTGCATGTTCACGTTTACAGTGTATTTTCTTGCAAAATAAGTGCTATCCTTGGGCTTAAAAAGCTGTTTGACTAGATTTAAACCACAATTTGACCTTTTATGCAACTGTAAAGATGCATTCCTGGTAAAATGCCAGGAATAAACCATCCATATTAATTGGATCATCACGAACGCGGTCACAACTCTCAGTTGAAGTGCATCAAAATCGCATTATAATGTCAACAACATTCGGATTGCACAGAGCCATCACGAGTACCTGTATGGAATTCAAAGCCTCTTTTCTAAGTCGTCCCGAGCGCTTGCTATCTGCCCCTGCAGGAACTCATATCACATGAATGAATTATTGGATTACATCCCTGACATCATGAAGCAAATGTTCTGGCCTTGGGTCTTGTTATAATAGTGTGGTTTTGCGGACACTGTTGTTCAGTTAGCGCATGCAGCGCACCGTCATAACCAACGTGACTGTGTCCCTAAAACACCTCTACGCCGAATGAATAGAAATCAATTGGCAACCACGATACCTCGCCTTGCGTGACACCTTCCGTCCTCTGGCTTATTGTGAAGTGTGTTCCGTACAAGGGTCAAAGGTCATTTGTCCCCCTCTCTCTGCCGGGAGTTCATGTGTGGTGGCCGTGCGTATTGACGGCGACCCCTTCGACTAGAACCCTCATTATTCTCTATCAGTGTGCGCTCCTATATGCCATTTCCTCTCTGCCTTTAGTTAGTCTCTCTGTTTTCTGGCCTTCACCTGTATTTGTAATGAGTGCAATGGTGCTCTAGGAGTCTCAGGAGTGATGTGTAAAAGTGGAGAGAGGTCAAGGCAAGTCCGTGATCCTGAGTGGATGCAGGCGGATGGTGAGACGGGGGAGTGAAAACAGCAGGGGCTGGGGATGGACATGGGTGATGTTTAGATAAGAGGATGGGGAAGAGTGTTTTAAGAGCAGCACTGCAAATATAGAAGAAATTGCGTGTGTTTGGATGGAAGGGCCGCTTGTGTGCATTTGTGTTAAGGGTAGTGCTTTTTTCCACCATCCCCCAGTGTGTTTACACATATTGGAATGATGGTTGTGTGTGTGTGTGTGTGTGTGCGCAGCTGTGGGCCAGAGGTGGAGAAACACATCCGCACAGAGCTGTGAAAGTGATACAGGCTTGACTATTTTAGAAAAGACAAGTTTCGATAGACAAACATTTGTCATCGTTTACTCTCTTGTGTCATTCTAAACCGCTGTAACTTTCTTTCTTCTGCAAGCCAGTGTTATTTTAGTATTATACCTCACCGGCCCGTTTTCGGTAGCGTTCCTTCACCTCGTTTTTTCCTTCTTCCGCCCAGGGGCTCGTTTTCCTGGTGCTGAGATGGATCCATCAGGCCAGTTTTGCGTGTCTTTTATGAGCCTGCATATGTAGGCCGCGCAGAAGGGAAAGGTGGAGAGCGTAGGCCCTCTCGTTTGCTTGCAAATGACCAGTATCGACCATCTGCTATTTTAGTGTCCTTCCCCACAGGCTCTTCTAGTGATTTTTTCAAGCTGTGCATTTGTTGTATGTGTATGAGAGCGACTGTATGCGTTTGTGTTTGCAGGGCTTTTCTTCCAATCCATCCTAAAATTAGGGTCGTGTTTTTGTTTTTCGCCATTCAAAGCCTGGCAGCCACAGGTAGGAGCTGAACTGCATTAAAGCAACCGGTCAATGGTTTCCTTTAGTGTGAGCCAGTTCCAAATGTCCTTTTGGAAATTGTGTTTACAGAAATGTTATTTAGAGGCGCAATCACATGTCTGTGCTTTCGCTTTGAGCAAGTGCAGCTTTTCTCCTCCCTCGCTGCTCTTTTCTGTCTCTCGCTCTCTTCTACTCGTGCGTTCCTAACAGATGTTTGCCCTAATGCATCTCGGGCTCAGGTTGTTTACTGAGCTTACATCTGGTTTGGGTGCTTCATATCCCCCTTTGCCTGGAATTAATGGGTGTTTTTTTCTCCCCAAAAGCCAAATGTATTTACTTAAGTGTATTTTTGCACACAATGGAGTTGGAATGGGGAAATCATGGTCTCAGAGAGTATTTGGTACTCAGTTCAGTTCAGGTTGTAATGTGAAAATTGCAGTGTTTTAAACCCATCTGAACAAATAAGCAGTTGGGGGCTGTTCAGCCTTTACAGTTCATATTATTAGTGGTGCTAGAATTCAGACAACCCTTAAACTGAAGTACATAACGCGTCCCACACCATTTGTGTTTAGGGCTGCACGATTAATGATAATAAATCAGAAATTGCGGTATGACTTAGTGCGATTATCAAATTGCGAAGACTGTCATTGTAATTACATAAATAAATGCACTGCGTGTTTCAGAGTGAAGCTTATTATCCGCCGGTGTTTGCAGCGTCTCAGAGCGGATCGGTTCACAGTAAATGCTGCTGGACAAGAAGCTC